TGGTATAAATGGCATAAAATGGCATGAAAAGGCATAAATATACTGTACATCTAAGTATTTTGACAGAAAGTATTACTTGGCAAACTTAGATTAAACACAATTTAAGTGAATGCTTTAACATATTATGTTGTGTAAAAATACGTATTATGTGTTCCGGAAAACATCTCTATTCATATGCATGAAGAATGCTTGACATAGGCTAGTGATGGCGAACCTTTTAGAGACCAAATGCCCAAACTGCAACCCAAAACCCACTTATGTATCGTCAAGTGCAGGGTGGGTGTGGCCATTGGCTAGGTGGGCCCCATTGGGTAGGTGTGGCTGTGGAGGTAACGGCAGACTGGGTAGGACTAAAAAGTTCAATCAATCAATTCCAACTTTGCAAGATCTTTTTTTTTCCCATAAGAAGTTGAAACTGACTGATTGAACTTTTTTTTTTTTTTTTTGCACACGGTGGCAAAGGCCTAAAGCGAAAAGGTTTTATAAAACCCAGCTGAAGGCCTAGGACTGGGGCGACGGCGCGTGTACCCACAGAGAGGGCTCTGAGTGCCACCTCTGGCACCTGTGCCATAGGTTTGCCACCACTGACATAGGCTAAAAAGACAGGAGAAAATCAGGTATGATATCTGAAACAATTGCTTTAGATAATCAGTTATGATCATGGGACTAATATCAGCAATTGGAATTCTGAGGATGTCATTCTTAATCATAATTTACCACATTAGCCTCATTGAATCTAGTTCACACATAATTCTAAACTATGGTATGTTTAATCATTTACTGAATAATCCAGAATTGACTGGGTTATCAACTAGTTGAAAGGAAACCAAACAAACCACAATAGGGCTTTGCATGATATGCAAAATCATTTACTGTGACATAACTTCCAAGTAATCATTCTTAGATTAGTCTGACTCATAACTCATGTAGCTCTTTCTGTTGTTTTTTTATTTAGCTTTAGAACTTTCCCCTCATGTCATTAAAATTAAATACCAATTTTGCCTTGAATATCAAATGGCATAAAACCTTATTTATCACAGGAACATACCACTTTTAACTCTTCTAGCTTCAAAAAACACATCCAAATATCTCTGAAGAGTTCCTGTTTATTGTGTGGTTGTTACATTGAACTACATGTGTGTGTGTGTTTTAGACACTTGACTTTTGACATCAGTCGCAAACAGAGAGAATGCCTCCTCTCTTGTTGATTTACTTAGTTATCTCATTCTGAAAGACCTCAGAATGCTTTGAATACTATATGTGTTTCTGTGGGTTGGGTTAGCATTTGGTAACTTGGGTTATATTTTAAAAACAGCAAAATGGCCATGAGATAAGCATTGTTTGACTTAATAATTCAAGGTCTGCTTTAATTTTAGATAAACAGGCATGTTTGCAGGGCAAGCAAGGATAAAAGAACTATGGCATTTTGCTTTATAAGGGCCATAGTTTTAATTACTCATTCCTTTCACAAGTAGGCTACAAGGATTGGCTAGATATATCGGGTTGGCTTTGGGTAGTTCTTATAACTATCAATAATTCAATTCAGCCACTGGGCTGGACATATACACCATGTGATTCATAGGGTGTACCATCTTTATGCTATTAGTCATACAGCTGAAAAGGAAAGCAAATGATACTTAAAACTCACATACCTATTCAGCCTTGTCTAAAGAGTTGCAAAAGGAAGACACTGTTTCTGGATTACTGTGATTGTTATCATATGTTACTATTTATTTAGGTAATTTAGAAACGTAAATCCTGCAAAGATTTTAAATGTGGTGATTCATTTAACAATGAAATCTATTAGTTACATCCAATTATGCAAAAGCCTCTGAAAAATAATGATTTGCAAAAACATGTTTGTATGAAAGTTTCATATGTTTCTATGAAGAAACAAAAATGCATGGATCCAGCTGAAAGCCTAGCTAATGAAACCATCTGTTGCATAGAGGCAATCAGATGCTTTTTTGAAGCCCCATCTAGGAACTGAAGAATAGCATTGTCCTGCTTTGTTTATCAAACAAATCATCTGATTCCTACACCATATCAGCTAAACTGTGGCTTATTTAATTCTGGCAATATGTTATCAGAATTAAACCACTGTAATTTATGACAGTCTTGTTGTGAAACTCATTTTCATGTATAGTTTGTTTGATAAAATTAAACTATGGTTTAGAGTTTTGTTCAACCTTGCCACTGTTCCAATACTGAAGGACAAAACACAGATTGACTAGTAGCAACGATAACCTTAACATTTATAAATTTCTCTGATATTTTTTGAGTCAACTAAGTTGAGATTGTCTTTCTTTTTTTTCTTTGATTACATACATGACATAATTCATGTTAGACTTAATTGTACTATTAAAAAAATGAACATAACATTTACTTGGGAATTAGTCCCACTGCATTTGGTGCTTTTTACTCTCAGATGAGTATTAAGATTATACAGTGCTACAGAATCAAAGGCAAAGAGATGCTTGTGCAGTGTTGCAGATAGCGTCTGGTTGCAACTCCATAATTTTTGTTTTGAATCATGCTATAGCTGCAAAGAGCATTCATACAATACCAGCTGCATTGAGGAATTGTGGACAGATGCCATGTGAGTATCCCATGTACTCCAAAATACTTTTTTATCTTGAAATCAAAAGGCTTATACCTACAGCTTCATTGAGCAGGGACTTACAGATCAAATTGCTTGTCAGTAAATTATGAATAAATGTGAATAAGAATTCCAACTTGTAATTGTATACGTAGATAGTCCTTAATATACAACCATTTGTTTAACAAGGGTTCAGAGTGAGTTCCGACCCGTTACAACTCTGATACCACTCCCATGAGCACACAATTGTGATTTGGGCACTTGGCAACCAGCTTGCAATGTGACCAGTTGCAATGTTCTGCTACCACATGATTATGATTTGGACCTTCCCAGCAAAGTCAATGAGCAGAGGAGATTCATTTAATGACCACAAAATTCATTTGACAACTATGGTAAATGATTATAAAATTGGGTGGTTATGTAATGACTCATTTAATGACTGCATTTCTTAATGACTAAAATTCCAACCCCAACTATGGTTGTAAGTTGAAGACTCCCTGTATGTGGGAGTATTTTGGGCTTAGGAAGAAAAATTAGGTTGATTTTATCCCAAAATATTGCTGACCAGTAATTGAATAGCTTGTTGTTTGCGGTTCAGTGTGTGGAATGAAACTGATGACAGATTTTAGGCAATCTTTGACAAATGCAGCAATTATCAATGTTATCTATTGTACTTTTGCTACATAATGGATACCATTTTGAATTGTGTCATTCAAACATCAGATTATATTCCTGAGTAATATTTAACAACTACACTTAAAATTATGTTCAAAAACAAAAGATACACAAAAGTTGAAACTTGGACCTATACATATGCATCTATGTATAGATTATATGTGCAGACATATATTTCCTTTTTTCTTTCAGTTGTTACTGGTTTTGCCATTATTTTATTTTTTTGTGTCCATTTTCCACATTTTTTTTATTTTGTCAAAGGAAAAAAAAAACCTGATATATAAACCATCTTTGCTCCACTAGATGAGTTTTGAATACTTTTTCAGATGTCATCCCAGAAACATAGACAAGTTGATAAGGCATTATATTGTGTGCCTACTTTTGTCTTAATGTATTGGGTGAACTCAGATTATTATGGTTTATAAAACATGTAATGTGAACTAGCTAGTTGTAATTTAGTGAATAAAACATGATCAGATGAAGTATGCAATTTGCAGCAGTGTGCGAACACAGACACATCGTTTGTGCTTAATTCAGATTATGAACTTTTGAATCAAGTAGACATATTGGAATAAGTATTTCTTCAACAAGACTGCAGACTTACTCATTTTGTTAAATTTCAATATAATTATGTTGTGTTTCTTATTTTCTCTGTGGTTGGCAAATTTCAATCAATATCAGCTTTTTGAACCATTTTCATAACCTATAAAAATATTCTTTTTCCAATATGAAAATGCATTCTTAGTTTGGGGGGGAGGGAGTGAAATTGTCTCTGAGAATCACATCAAATGTGGGAGAGCCGAAATAAGAAAAATTGTATTTTGTTCATATAGTTTAGAATGGATCTCTGGATAGCATTCACCTGAGAAAAATGTTTTTTCAATTACCTTAGCTGAGACCTGCCACAAGATCTCTATTTGCCCTTGCATTTACATGAAGCCAACCTGGGGACCTCCTTCATTGTCACTTTCATTTCAGTGATCAGGGATTCTGAAAATTAGAGACTAAAACAACTTGAACCATGTGACCATTCCAGGTTTATGGCAACATCTGAGTTCATAAAATGTGTTGAACCCAAACAAACCATACTACAGTTTGGAGAGATTTTGACTCTATCTCTGACTTTCTGATCTCCCATCTGGCCATTTTATACACCTAATGAAGAAAAGCAGTGACCTGTCAGTGTCTCACTGGCTTGGTTTGCAGGGCACATGGAACCCCACCAACTAGCCAGCCACATTTTAATCTGACTGTGCAAACCTTATGATTCTCTCTATCAAGCAAGCTCAGAAAACTCCATTTGAGTTAGCATTTTTACAGTGACCACAGGTAAGACTGTTAGATGGGCAGAGCAATTATGTTCAGATACAGCTTGTTCCAGTTCAATTCCCAGAATTATTGCCTGCATCCTATTAGTTGTATTTAATTAGGAGCGAGATCTAGTGAATTCACGGGGACTTACTTCAGAATTGAATTGACCCTTCAGGAAGTGTTGGCTTTAAGATGCCCGCCCCAACTCGACCCTGCTTGCGTCTTTTCGTTAAGCAGGGACGAGCAGGTGCTATCTTGTAGTTGCAGTTTTGGAAAGGCAAAACTGTCAATTTTTATTTTTATTTTTTTGAACGCGGAAGGGTGGCGCGCGCGCTCTCACACACACATCCTGAAGTGACTTTCAGGCTCACCCACATACCACGTAGGCTGGTGGGGAGGGGAAAGAAAAAGGGAGAAGCCAGTCAGAACAACCGGAGGAGGAGGGCATGTGCAGCGTTTGGGACTCTCCAAGTGGTGGAAGGAGAGGCCGAAGGAGGCGGCAGCCTGAGAATTTCTGAGGGCTCACAGGCCTCTGGCTGGGCGGCGGAGAGAAGAGAGTGGGGCGCCACTGGCGGAGAACGCGCGCGTGGGTGGAAACGCCGACCTAACTCCGCGCTTGCTTCGCAATTAGGGTCGCGGAGCAATAAAGCCCCCCTCTCTTTTCTTCTACTCCCCCCCCCACCTCGGCTAGCCCTGCCTTCTGTGGCGGCTAGTTTCTGCTGGCCCTGCCCACGTTTCCCTCGTTCCCTCCCTCCCCCCCGCGGTCATGTGTTGCCTTTTTTTTGTTGTTTGCAGTGGAAACAATTTCGCCTTCTAGCACCTCCGACCCAAACCGCTACTCGCTCAGACGGGGTGGCGGGGGGGGGGGAAGAGAGAGAGAGAGCAAAGGAAGGGGAGACGGCAGGAGGGTGAGACGAAGCAAAGGCGGCAGTGAGGGGGGGTGTGTGTGTGAAACTGCAGCAGGGTCCCATGCTCGCCTCAGATTTCCTTTTCGGCTCTGGGCTCCCCTCGCTTTTTCCCTTCGGCCACATTGTTGGCTTCAGGCTGGGGGAGGAAGCAATGCCTTGTTCAATCGGATGAAAAGTTTGCATAATGATCACGGGCAAGGCGGCAGGGAAAATCTAGAACTCATCCAGGACAGGTAAGTTTAGATTTTTTAAACATACGTGTGCGTGCGTGCGTTGAGTATATGGTGGGGCGTTTTGTCTTTTCTGCTTTCTGTGTAGATTCCCGTTTATTTCAACTATAATTCCTTCTCTGGAAAGATTGCGTAAGAATTCTCTGCATTGGAATAGAAAGAAGGGGAAAGCACAGAGAGACAAGAAACGGTGAATGGGCGCAAGACGCAGTAAAATCAATTTGGAATGTCTAAAAACAACTTCCTGTTCGTCTTGAAATAAGGGGATGTAAATTCTCTTGGTATTGTCAGGTGAAGCGGGTCGAACCGAGAGTTTGCAGGCATGACCCGACTGTGTAATTTTGTTATTGCTGCTCTAGTTCTAACTGCTAAGACCCTTGACGAATAGAGTTAGTATTGTGTTTTAAAGTTGGGGAGGGGGGGGGGAGTTTGAGGACGAACTCGACCTTTACAATATCTCTAATAATAATAATAATTTTTTTGCGACAGGGATTACTTCCAATCGCTTCGTGTAGTTTGGGGGAGCATTTTTTTTCTCTTAAGTTTTAAAATCCTGTCACTGGTTTTTTTAAGTAGTAGTATGAGTTTCAGCATTAAGACGGCAAATTTTTGAAATGATTTTTAGAGAAATAGATTCGTAAGCTCTTGGGGGGAGGCGTATATGATGGCGTGATGTAGAAGAAGATAGGCCAATGCAAGGTTTAAGATATCTGACCAGCATTGAAGGTATGTTCGCTGCAAATGGCACTGTATAGACATAAGTGCAGTTTTCCAGTCGCCTAGCAACGTATTGATTGATTTGAATCCTAGCCAATCAGCGGCATCCTTCTCCCCTTCAAATGTTTTTGACAAGTACAGAAGGGAGTGTAGGCAAAGTGCAGTCTCCCTGACTGCTCTCTTCTTCGCTTAAAAGTATTAGCCTGCTGTTTTATTATTTCTTTAGTATATATATATTGCTCAAAAAAATAAAGGGAACACATCCTATAGGATTACTTATAGGATGTGTTCCCTTTATTTTTTTGAGCAGTGTGTGTGTGTGTGTGTGTGTGTGTGTATCTCGATTCAAATGTAGTCTTCAAATATATGTCACTGCATAGAGATGCGTTATTTTGAGAAACAGCAATAACAAGTAATTCTTCCTTTTTGTACATTGTTTCAGTTTTTACAATTCTAAATATTAAAAACAGTGGCTCTCAAGCAACAGTAATGTTCATTTTACATATAGTGATTTCAAATTCTGGGGACATCTGACAGAGCTACCTCTTTACAAAATATTTGTTGCTAATTTGTATCTAATTGTTTGGTTAGAATTCTTCAGCCCCTCCCCCCGTGTATTTTGTTAATTAAAAATGGCAGGAAAGTTATTCCTTTTAGAGCTAGAATCCAGTTGAGGAAAACTCAGCTGTGTTTCTAAAATTTATTTTGCTGTATACTTTTTTCCTTCATGTAAATCTAAACAAGAATTTCTCTTTTCCATAATTCAGCTTAAGTTACAAAATTGTCTGCTGTTCTTTCAACTGAAATGCTGCAAACTTTGTTCTTGAAACTGTTCAGTTAGGTCCCGTTTCTAGAATGGATGAAAACGTGCTGTCTTTTGCATCACTTCTGGAAACTCTTATCCTTGTGCACATGAAAGAGGCACTTCTTATAGTTTCCAAGCTGTGGATGTTGAAATGTACATGATATAATGCATATTTCAATAAAATCTCTTCTTCAGTCATGTGCAACATTTCTCATTAAGTTATTTATATTTTCCAATGATTATTAGAATCCATGATCCAGAGTCTGCCCTGTAGTATTTAATGGCTTTTACTCTGTATAAATAAAATCACATGCTTAAAACATGTAGTAAAATGGTTGTGGCGGTTAATCCAGACATAAATTGTTTGGTGGGTTATAATTTTAATTAACTCAGATCATGTTGAAAACCATGAAGTTGACCCTGAATCTATAGAATTGGAAAGAGTTGCGAGTTTATCATAAGCTCTTAGAAGTCACTAGTTTTTGTGTGAAAATTGATGGTATTATATAGTCCTTTGGGAGAATGCTGGCAAGTAAGCAAATTAAACTGAAAGAGAGCAGCATGTTGTCATAGCAACAGAGCAATTAAATTATGTTGTCAGCCATGATATAATTTTCCTATTTAAAAGCTTGCTCATGGGATATAAGTTCTCTGTACTGAATGCATTTGGCTACATTGCTTTCAACTAAAGGCGGGGGGATATTAATGTTTTAGGGATACACGTTTCAGTAATCTCCCTTACTTCCCCAGTGCTTCCATGTTTCAGTGTACTAAGAATGTCTTCACTAGGCAGCATTTCTTCACACTGAAACAGCATTGTGAAGAAAACCAGCATTGAAAACCCTCCTTGAGCAATGTTTCCGGGTACTCTTACTAGCTTCCCCCCTTCTTTCAACTGAGAGATACGTAGTTTCCATATGTAATTTTAAAGAACATCTTAATCACATTTTTGTTTTTAATGGTTGAACTTTGCTTTAAGAGTTATCAATACATTTTCTTGTTAGTAGCAGTGTGGTATGAAATAGATTCATTTAACTTTTTCAGATATTTTAATATTTTTCAATATTTCAGTTTCATTTTTATTCAGCTCTTTATCTTCAAGAATCTTGTTCTTGTTCTTTTTGTGTTTTTTCTTCAACTCACCTTACTGACCTCTTATGTAATTGTAATTTATTTCACTGTTTTGAAACATCAGCATCAAGTCTTTTTACATAGATTTTTGATAAGTCATATCTTATTAAATTATTGTGATTTTTTTTACATTCAGCTTTTCAACATGCAGCTTTCGGTTGTCTACTTGGTTTCCCATCCAAGTACTAATCAGGATACATACTGTTTAATTTATTTCCATCAAACTGCTAAAAAGGCTTATTAAACAAATATAGGCTATTTCTGTAAAGAAATACATTTATTTTAATTTAGAGATCTTAGTTTTATAGTGATGTATGAACATGCTTGAACTTTGATTATATTTGTGGTATATTTGTCAAACTGTGCCCAAAGCAACCAGTATTATCTTTATAGTTAGCATGAAATTTTGCATGTGGCAGAAATACAACTAACACGAGCAACTTAGCCTATACTTTCTCTATCATAAAAGCCTTGATTGACCTAAGCCATGATGTGGAGTGATGGTCAGTATCTTGAAGATGACAATAATATATGGAATACTATTGAAGATAGACAAAATAATGAATTGTTGTTAATCAACTTGTTTCAGATAAAGAATAAAAAAACGTAAGATGTGGCTTTGATTGCTTAATCTTGATAATGGAATTCAGGTTTAATAAGTTTGTAATGCTTTCTCAAATACTTCCCTAACAAATATCAGATAGTTAAGCCATTTGTTTGTACACATTTTCTAGCTTTGGTTAGCCTGATCTATTTTTGCATACTGTTCTCTCAGCCCAGTATAGCAACAACAGTATCTACTAATCAGTGTATGACATCACTGTTCATGCTTTCTTCTAAGTCATGCTTATCACATTCAGTGTTTACTGTAATTTCAGCTAAATTTGTCATTGTGGGGGGTGAATTCTTTTTCTGTATATGCATCTTTTCTCTGCTTCTCTAACTTGTATTTAGATCATTGAAACTTAATTCTGAATGCATACCACAAATTCTGTTGCAGTTTCTTTGGGAAGCTAAGTGAATGCTTGGTTGTAAATGTTTGTGTGTATGTGTCTATGTGTGTAAACATGGAGTTTTGCCTGTTTGTGTGTTTTGCCAAAGTTAGAGAGGCTATAATTATAATATGGCTGTGTTCACACTGGAAGTGAAACAGCTGAAATTAACATGAAGCAACTGGTCTTAAGCTCTCAATTTTGTATGGTTATTACAAACAGTAACAGTTTTTATGACCAGTAATAGGGAGTCTATACTAATATGCTTGTTTGGGAGAAAGTACAATTGATAGCATTAGTTTATTTTTTAAGTGAATGGATAAAGCATGACAGCCTTATTTTAAAAGGGTATCAACCTATTTTTGTTGTGGTTGTTTATAGGCAGAAAAATTAATGTATTCAAAAAATGCAATAATGTTTATTGCAAAAGTTAAAATTCCATCATTGTCTTATTCTCTGAATGTTGCTTGTATCAGTCTGCATATGTGTGGGTGGGAGGGTGCATAGTTACTAGACTTCATAAAAGGCCCTAGTGCAGACTAGGAAAGTGTTTGAATGTTATTTTCTTTTTATCTATCTAACTTTTTTTCTTGTAAAATTTGGTTTTATTTTATTAGGAGCCTCAGACTAAATGGGTCCAGTTATGCCTCCTAGTAAGAAGCCAGAGGGCTCGGGAATTACCATTTCCAGTGGACTGAGCCAGTGTTACACAGATGGTGACCTATCAAAAACTCTACAGGATGAAGAAGACTTAGATTTTTCTTTGCCTACTCTTCGATTGGAAAAAGGTCCTATAGAAGATGAAGAACTTACCAATTTGAACTGGTTACATGAGAGTAAGAACTTGCTGAAAAGTTTTGGGGACTCTGTCTTAAGAAGTGTTAGCCCAGTTCAAGACCTGGATGATGATACCCCTCCATCTCCTGCTCATGCTGACATGCCCTATGATGCCAAGCAGAACCCTAACTGTAAACCACCATATTCATTTAGCTGTCTCATATTTATGGCCATTGAGGACTCTCCAAACAAACGGCTTCCTGTGAAGGATATATACAACTGGATTTTGGAACACTTCCCTTATTTTGCAAATGCTCCTACTGGATGGAAAAATTCTGTGAGGCATAATCTGTCATTAAATAAATGTTTTAAGAAAGTGGACAAAGACAGAAGTCAGGTGAGGCTGGAATAATGTCTGTAAAATCCATTTAGTCTTCTAATCTTTATTACTACTTTGGGTTTTGGGTTTTTTTTTTTTTTTGTTCTAGTTAAAATGGATCAAGCAGTCCTGTGTCTCCTCTTTCCTCTCTCCCAGTATTACTTCATGCATTTGAAGAAATAGTATTTGCTCTCAAGTGGTTCATTTATAAAACATTGAATTTTTTTGTCTAGACAGCTGTAAGATATTGTTTGTATAAATATGTAGTACGCATTTTTAAATTCCATTTTATATCTCTCTACAATATCAATATAGGATATTTTGTTTTACTGATGATTTTGAGACATACCAGGTGCATATAATCACATAGAATGAGTTGAATACTATGCTTGGCTTTATATAAGTCTGTGCAGTTTTTGCTTCCACTTTAATTGAATGTGAAGAAATTGATTTCTTACCTCTAGTGTTGCATGCATAGGCCTTTGCAATCTTGCAGTTTTCTATTTATTACTAAACAATTTTACTATTTTTATATTAATATTAATATTTTATATTAATATTTCATTTATAACCATCTGCTGTAACTTTGGTTTCTTTTGGGTTGCTTCCATGCACGGAACTGGTGAGATCTGTATCTTAAGTTCAGTAAAATTCACAGATTGACCCATAGGAAAAAAAATCTAGTATCAAAAAATATGATTTTTGGTTTCTGTTTGCTTAAGTTCGGATAAAGTATTTGAAGTGAGGAAAAGTAAAAGTCTAAGTTTTGCAAAAAAAGAAAAGCACTGTGAGTTGAGATAAATAGCTTATATACAGATATTCCATTCAGGATTTCATTTTACAGAAGATGTACTTAGTCTTTCTGGTCTGTATTTTATCACTGGCAGCAGATCTGCAGATTTAAGCAACTGCTGCCTAATTGTTTGCATTAAAGAAGCAAGAATTGAATGTAGGACCATCTTTGTACCAACCTTGTTCTCTGTGATTGGAGAAGGATCTCTTGCCATTGTGTTAGTTGTTGAATTATATCATTCAGCCTTTTATTGAATCTGTTACGGTCTAAATCTTCTTGGAGCTACTTCTGAGACAAAACAGTATTTCTATTACTCTTGTTGGTAAAATGTGAAAGCTGAGATTAAGAGTGATTTCAGGAATGTTTATATCTTGCACAGCTGTATTAGAAGCAACACATGAATTATATTTGTGCAACATACATGGTGTTACTATGATTGATGTCTCATTTCTATCAAATCTAATGCATTTTAGACTTTCTGTGAGGCACAGCAGTTAAAAGTCTTAAAAGTGCATGGTACTAAGATCAATAACATTTGAATTAAAAGCAGTTTTTGATTTAAAAAAATATGTATATTTGTACAACATTTTCTTTCTCCAAAGTGCTAGTAAATGTAAATAACCTATTTGGTAACCTCTGTTTGAGGAAAAGATATTTGATATTCAACAGGCTGAAGCAAATGTTGCAGATTATTTTGAGCATTCTTTGGTGTTGGATTCTTTTGGTCGTGCCTGTGTGTGTGTGTGTGTGTGTGTGTGTGTAAAAATATCAGAAGAAAGGAATAATGGAAGCATAACATTTTTTCAGATGTTTTTCTTTCAACTATTCTGCTGTTACCTTTCTGTACTCATGTCCCACTTTCCTTTGGGATCAAGCAGCCAGATACTCTTATTTCTGTTGTGTTAACATCTCTTCCAGCTGTTTGTAGTCTCCTACTGAGAGACTGATGAAGGTTTTAAGATGTGATATTAAGTTATAGGTGGAGTGGATGTATTAAAAATCAAGGTGTTTTAGTCATGAATTGTTAGGAAAAAATAAAGAATACCTTTAAATCAAGTTTCTAATTTGCACTTTCAATATTTCTTTTAAAAGATGCATTGCAGTTGCTAGGTCTGTTTTGAATTTTTTTTTACATCTAAATAAAAACGCATAGTCTGAATATGTTCACTCGTTACACTGAAGTAAACACTGAACCAAAAACTAATCAGCATATTTTAGCCTAATATCCAGAAATAGGACAAATTCATGTGTTATCAAGTTTTAGAAAACTGAATTGAGTAAACTATGGTTAGGTTAACCAGAATATAAAAATATATTGTACAAATATATCCTCTATGTTAAAAAAAAAAGCATATAGGTAGTCTGTGACTTATAATCAGAATCTGGGCTCCGTATAGTTGTAAGTTGTCACAATAGTAAGTTGAGACACCATGTGACTGAACTGAATTTTATGACCGTTTTTATGATGTTCATAGAGAAATTAATTCACTGTTGTTAAGTGGTTGTTAAGTGAATCACATCACTAGGTATATCTGGTGGGTGCTTTTTGTCATTTTCTACTGGAAAGTGGTAAAATGTCTCAAATTGTGTCACATGACTGTGATGCTGCAGTGAGTTGTAAATGTGAGCCGGTTGCTAAGCACCCAAAATGCAATCATGTGACTGGTGTGTGTGTGGTGATCATAACTTCAAGGATAGGCAATAGGTAGCTTTTTTGAAGTCCAGCCTAACTTCGAATGGTCATGATGAAACTATAAGTCAAGGACTACATTTACAGCGCATTCCACATAGATACGGTGTTATTTAGGGCATGAAACAGTTCTATTTCTCCAGGGGATGGGGATGATTGGACTATAAATTCTATACTTCTCAGCAGCATTGTCTATGTTAGATGGGATACAAGTTTAAGGATTTCAAGTTAAACTCAAATATAAGATACTGGCTTGAAAATATTATCTTACACAAAGAATGCATTCATTTTTAGGCCAGGCATCTAGATCAGTGTTTTTCACAGATTGTACCACTTTTAGGATATGGTAATATTCAAGTACCATCAGTCACTTAACAAGGTGTCAAAAACTTGATGACCAAAAATAGAAAAAAGTGATAAAGTATAGGTAGTCTTCGGCTTACAACAGTTTGCTTAGTGACTATTACAACAGCACTGAAAAAAAGTGACTTATGACCATTTTTCACACTTATGACCATTGCAGCATCCCCAGGGTCACGTGATGTACATTCAGATGCTTGGCAACTGATTCATGTTTATGATGGTCACAGTGTTTGAGGGTCATGTGATCTCCTTTTGCAACCTTCTGACAAGCAAAGTCAATGGGGAAACCAGACTCACTTAGCAATTAGTGTTACTAATTTAACTACAGTCATTCATTTAACAAATGTGGCAAGAAAAGTCATAAAATGGGACAAAACTCATTTAACAAATTTCTCACTTAGCAACATAAATTTTGGGCTTGAGGACTATCATAGCTTGAGGACTACCTCTACACCCATGTCACACTTTTAATAGCTTGAGGACGATCTCTACACCCATATCACACTTTTAATGGGAAACTTGTGCCTTTTCTCTGACATTAATCTTTGCATTGTTCTATCCCCTCCTCTCCCTCTGCTTGACTCAAAGAAGCCTCTCCTTTTCTTTGTCTCTCTTTCTCCGTCCCCTTCTCTTTCCCTATGGTCTTTTTCTCTCTCCCTCTCCCTCTCCCACCAAACCTCCTCCTTTTATATCCTCTCCTCTCTCGCTCCTCCTCCTTCTCTTCTCTTCAGTGCAACTCCAGCTGACTCCTTTCCCCCAGGCTGCGAGCTGCTCTGTCTCTCTTTCTCCGTCCTCTTCTCTTTCCCCATCATCTTTTTTTCCCTCTCACTCTCTCGCCCAAACCACCTCTTTTATACTCTCTCCTCTCTCCCTCCTCCTCCTTTTCTCTTTGGTGTGACTCCAGCTGACTCCTCTCCCCCAAGCTGTGTGGTGCTCCCGGAAATTTATTTATTTATTTATGAGACTTATATACCACTTTAAGTGCAAGCACTCTCTAAGCGGTGTACACCAGTAAGCAATGTATATATATATATTTACATTGCCCCCAACAATGCCAATCATCTGGAGCCCATGCCAATCCTGGATGCTCAGCAGAGCCTCCGCAACACCGCAGCTCCAGCTGACTCTCCCACAGGCCTGGGCGGCGGTGCCGCCACTTTAGCTCATCCCTCGATACATTTTTACACTTTTTTTACACTTGTTTTTTTACAGTGCTTTTCAACCCGTTGTACACATACCATCTGCCAGGTGCCGAAGAACCCCGGTTGAAAAGCATTGATCTAGATTTTCTTTTTTTATGCTATTAGTTACAACAGTACTAAGGTGCTAGTAATGCTAGTTCATAACTTGAAGACTGAACAAATTGCAGAGCTCAGCTAATTAGCATTCATTAAATAAGTATGTATGGCCTCAGTGACATATGCATTGATACTTTGGGGATCAAACTTGAAACTTGATGCATTGCCAATGTATTTCTCTTTGATTAAGTCTCGAAAAATACTTTTCTATACTTGGAAGAAAAGTATTTTTTGTATTTCTTGTACTTAACATGGAAGTTTACAAATCTGATAGTTTTTACTGCAGTTTATTGTAAAATATCAAAATACTATTGAAGTTTGGTTCATGGATTGCATTTGAAGAGATGATTAGGCATTGCTTTACTTTATTTGTCCAGAACCTGTTTGTTTAACTCTTCAGATGATAGGTAGAATAGAAATATTATAAATAAATTGGTTTTATGAGTTCAAAACCATGTTTTGAAAAATATATAATGTGGAAGGGCATACGGGTAGCCCTCAAATTACAACAGTTTGTTTAGTGAACATTTGAAGTTACAATGGCGCCGAAAAAAGTGACTTATGACCTTTTTTTACACTCAAGACCATGGCAGTATCTCTATGGTTATATATATTTAACAAATGTCTCACTTAGCAACTTCAATTTTGGGCTCAGTTGTGATTTTAAGTCAAGGACTACCTATATTATTTGAATAATTCCACTGTGAGCTCTAATTTCCATGATGTTATGATGGATGTAAGGTGTTATACAACCTTATGCATTTATGTTGCTCTTTGAATATTTTTCTGTTAGTTACTGTGTGAAATAAAGTGATTGAGGAAAAAATAAAAATATAAATAACAATTTTATGTAATCTTTGCCTTCCTTATAAAT